TCTTTATGCAGCCTGTGGCAGCCATACATACCAGTTGCTGGTAATGCTGAAGCTTCTTCATAGTGGTAGCTTCATTTGTTTTGGTCCACCACACCAGAGCGCCGTTTGTGATCGTTGGCCGAATTACATTTTTGTGTAAAACTTAATGCGCGTTGAAGTTCGTTCCGATCACAACTTCTAGTCCAGTCCTCTCGCAGACGATTCACCACTCAGACGAGGTCATGAGAGGGAGGTGTATCTTCCTTCGACATGTAGACCGAGGCGACGGCTAATCTACCCTCCTGTGTATTTTGTATTGCTACGGCATACATGTATTTGGAACAGAAATTGATTTCGATTAAATTTGGGACTTGTTGTGCACAGATATCTGTAGTCATCATTCATCATTACAGCCCTTCACAAGTCCACTGCTGAACATAGGCCTCCCCCAAAGAATGCCACAAAGCACGGTCCTGAGCCACCTGCATCCATCGACTTCCTGCATGTTTTACCAGGTCGTCACTCCATCTCGTGGGGGGACGCCCTACACTTCGCCTACCGGTACGAGGCTGCCACTCGAGAACCTTTCTTCCCCATCGGTTGTCGGTTCTTCGAGCTATATGGCCGGCCCACTGCCACTTCAGCTTACTAATCCGTTGGGCTATATCGGTTACTCTGGTTCTACTGCGGATATCCTCATTCCTAAGTTTATCACGCAGAGAAACTCCGAGCATAGCCCTCTCCATAGCTCGCTGAGCGACCTTGAGCTTCCTCATCCGGCCAGCAGTGAAGGACCACGTCTCAGTTCCATAAGTCATCACTGGCAACACGCACTGATTGTACAATTTCGTTTTCAGATTTTGAGGTATGTCTGACGAGAAGATGTGTCGTAGCTTCCCGAACGCTGCCCAGCCGAGTTGAATCCGTCGATTGACCTCTCGGTCGAAGTTGGACTTACCTAGTCGGACTATTTGTCCCAGGTAAACATACTCGTCAACAACTTCGAGCTTAGTGCTCCCAACAACTACCGGCATAGGTGTGACCTGGACATTGAACATGATCTTTGTTTTGTCCATGTTCATCTTAAGACCTATCCGTTGGGAAACACTATCGAGGTCATTGAGCATAGTGCTTAGGTCCTCCAGCGATTCTGCCATAAGGACTATATCGTCGGCAAATCGAAGGTGAGTGATGTACTCGCCATTGATGTTGATACCGTATCCTTTCCAGTTCAGAAGCTTGAAAACGTCTTCCAATGCAGTGGTGAAGAGTTTCGGGGATATGACGTCACCCTGTCTTACACCTCTCTGCAATAGGATAGGTTTCGTACTCTGGTTATGTACTCGGATAGCCATCGTAGTCCTACTGTACAAGCACTTCAACACTTTGATATACCGACAGTCAACTTGGCACCGCTGAAGGGACCGCAGCACCGCTCAAATTTCGACGGAATCAAAGGCTTTCTCATAGTCCACATACGCCAGACATAGTGGCAAATTGTACTCTTCGGACTTCTGTACAATTTGCCGAAGGGTATATATGTGGTATATTGTGCTAAAGCCCTTTCGGAAACCGGCTTGTTCGGGAGGCTGGAAATCGTCAAGTCTGCGCGCGAGACGATTCGTAATGACTCTCGAAAACAGCAAGAAGACGCGGCTCAGAAGGGATATCGGTCTGTAGTTCTTCAAGAGAGCGTTGTCACCTTTCTTGAAGAACAAGACCACCGCACTTCTGCTCCACGCCACTGCCGAGGACGGAATTAAAGAGCTTCTGAAGGAATTCAAGTACCGGTCTTCCACCCGCTTTCAGAAGCTCCGGTGTAATTCCATCCTCGCCTGGGGCCTTACCGTTTTTAAGGTGCTGGAGAGCCATTCTAATCTCGCTCAGACTGACGTCCGGGATATCTTCGGAATAGTGTCGGATGAGACTCGCTCTTGGATCGTTACTCACACTTGCGTGTGGCTCCAACGATGACGTGTAAAGCTGCCCATAGAACCTCTCAATCTCACTCAAAATCTCAGGTGTCCCGGAAACGATGCTGCCACATTCTGTCTTCAGCTTTGACAGGTGGCTCTTTCTGGCAGACAGATCTCTGGCAAAGACTTTGGAGCCTTGGTTCCGCTCGATCGCTTCTTCAATACGAGCTGTATTGAAGTTGCGTAAGTCCCGCCGCATGCATTTGGAGATCTGTCTGTTCAGATGCCTGTATGCTGTCAAGTCTGTTGAAGAATGTAGCTTCATCTCCCGTCTAACAGCCATGAGATTAAGAGTGTTATCGGAGAGTTTTTGTGTTCTTCTGCGGCGGGTCTTGCAGAACTTAGCTCCGAACGCATGGACAGTTTCCACGAGCTTGTCATTCATATCGTCCACTTCATTGCAGTCTTCTAGGCACTGAAAACGGTTTTGTAACTCGAGCTCAAAGGTTTCGGGACTTTGGAACAGAGCACGAGGAGGACGGAGCGTTGACTTCATTAGACGAGACCTCTCCAACTTAACGTTTAGGTTCAGTGTGCCTCTAACCATTCGGTGATCGCTACCAGTTTTCACCCTCGCGATCGAGGAGACATCACTGAACAGTTGTCGTCTGGTCGTCATAATGAAGTCAATCTCATTTTTTGTCGAACCGTCGGGGCTCGACCAGGTCCACTTCCTGTGGGGCCGCTTCTGGAAGAAAGAGTTCATCATATAGAGTCCCTCTTTCTCCATGAAGTCGGCCAGCTGCTGCCCCTTGGGTTCCGTTGCCCTATTCCAAATTTCCCTACTTTCAGCTCACCGTTCTCTCTTGTGCCTAGTTTTGCATTGAAGTCTCCCATTAACACCGTATATTGAGTTTTGGAGGAATGCATGGCTCTAGATATATCCTCATACATTTCCTCCACCTCCTGATCGGGGTGTGCCGAGGTTGGTGCGTAAACCTGTATGACCTTCAGCGAATACCGTTTGGTGATTCTGAGTATAAGGTACGCCACCCTCGTCGACACACTCCCGATCTTTACAACGTTGTTAACGAGAGACTTGTGGACGATAAATCCGACACCTCCTTGGGACAGATGGTTGCCCTCCCGGTGATAGAGCAAGTTGCCGGATTCGAGGATTACCGTGTCCTCCCCCTCTCTTCGGACTTCGGATAATCCTATAATATGCCAGCGCAACTTGTCTATCTCTTCTTCCAGCTCCACGATCTTCTCGTCAGTCCTCAGGGTTCGTGCGTTGTACGTTGCCAGGTCGAGTCGTCTAAGGTGGCAATCGAACCTCCACCGGAGATTCTTAGCACCCCCTGCCCCGCCGTTACCATGGTTGCCACCGTAGCCAGGAATAGCGGGGCCGCCGGGGACTGGGGCCGTCTTTTTGTTACATGCATAGGGGGGTATTTGCCATATTTGCTACACTTGGCGAGCGGGTTGGCAACCGCAGTTTTTTTATTGTAATTTTGGCTATTATCAGTAAGATGCTGCTACCCATCTCCTGTCTGTTTCCCTTTGTCGCCTTTTACGACACCCACGGGAGGATATGGGGTAGTGGATATTCTTGACCGCCACTACACGGCATATTCTACACGGGATATCTGTAGTAGTATATGTATAAATACATATGGTTTGTCGTACTCAGAGTTGTAGAATCACATACTTTTTAGGTTGTTTAGGCCTTTTATTTTTTACCAACCCCAACTCACGGCTTTAGGATTAAGGCTATGGCTGTCATTTAAGCCTCTAAGTACTTGCGTAATTGAGCCGACGCAGTTTCGCTGTGTGAGCAAGGGTCCTAAAAAGTACTCGAAATGTCGAGAATAATAAATAAATTTAAATTAACGTGATAAAATTTGCAGATAACGTAGATGTCTATGGGCCACAGCATCCACTTACCATCAGGTGGACTGTATGCTCGTTTGTCATGCTCATTATACTGGGTGGCGCCCAGGTTATCACGTTAAATAGCACAACAGTTAATACAAGTTGATATATGTCTGTTAAAATAATAAAATAAACAATAATAAAAACTAATAAAAAATGCATCTTTCAAACAAAATAAATAGGGTAAAAAATCACATAAAATAAATCATCCTTGATAATATTACTTAACTGACCTGAAATGACTTGTAGAAGCGGCAACGTCGCGGCCAGCGGTTCATTGCTCATGCGACATCGATATAGGTAATTATATTATAATACCTAGGTCCTAGGACTTGCCCATACATAGGTAATTAGGCACGCGTAGGGCGATGCTAATCCGATGTTATCAACAAATCACAAATTTCATGGTATTTTTTTATCCAAATAATCACTTTAACCTTGAAATCACTCAAGTTTATGAAACAAATCAAATTTTTAAATTTTCAAAATGTCCGCCGTGTACCCGAATGCATAATTGACATCGTCGCATGATATTATTTCGGACTTTTCGAAAGAGGGCACCATTGGCTGCAAAATTTTTTATTTTGTCGAAAGCCCGCATTATTCTTATTTTTAAGTCCTCGACAGTCGTTACTTCAGTAGAGTACACCTCATTTTTTATGTAACCCCATAAAAAGAAATCTAACGGTGTGCCGTGTGCCGTGACCGTGCTGGCCACCGAGAAGGTCCGTATCTGCCAATCCAGTTCTCTCCGAACATCTCAGTGAGGCGCTGCCTGGCAGCCACCACTGATGAGCAGGTGCTCCATCAAGCTGGTACCATAACCGGCTATTGGCCCCCAACGATAGTCCATCAACGTAACCCGCCACTGTGTCGTCAAGCAGTTCCAAAAATTTAGGCCCATTAAGGTTGCCTTCGATAAACACGGGACCAATTATTTGATCTCCGTGTATTCCAGCCCAAACATTAACGGCAAATCTATATTGGTGCATAGACTCTCGACACAGTTGCGGATTTTCTTGACTCCAGTATCGTAAGTTCTGCCGATTCCATATTCCGTTACGCGTGAATGTGCTCTCGTCAGTCCACATTACGTTTGCTAAAAAGTTAGAGTCATTAGCTACTTTGCTCAGGAGCCATTCAAAGTAGGCTTCCCTAACTGGCTTATCTCTATCTAATAAAGCCTGTACCTTTACGTATTTGAACGGCCGTTGCTTGTTTTTTTTTTAATATTCTGTGAACAGACTTGTGGTGTACACAGAATTGGCGAGCTGCTCTACGGAGACTTGATGTTGGATTACGAGCGAAATAATTTAATATTCGTTCTTCCTGAGCCACGGCGACTCGCGGAGGAATTTCAACCTGACGTGGAATCAAATTTTCGCCGTCACGTAATCTTTGGACTGCCCGTATAAAAATCCGTGAGTCTGTAGGACATACACGTGTGGTATTATACCTCTCTCGGTATGTTCGTAATGCCAGGGACGCGTTTTGGTGGCATTCTCCATAAATTAAAACCATATCGGTGTATTCCAATGACGTAAAATTGATACGAGGCATTTTAAAATAAAAAAAGTTATACGTTTAAAAAAATAAAAGCGTCCAATTGCGCACGGGCTGACACACCACTAAGTTATTAAATATCACTTATCTATTATTAACGAGTCCTATCACAAATAAAAAATACAAGACAGTAAAAGAAAGCGTCAAATTTCGCACAAATAGTCACACCACCTCCTCAACACAATTATTATTATAGTATTAACGTGTCCTATCACAAACAAATCAAGAAACTTATGAAAATATCCACAAAAAAAAACTTTAAATTAAAAGGACGTGTACGCGAAAATCTAAAATTAGGTCAAGCGATTAATGAACCGTTCCCAAGGACGCCGGCGTCGGACTAAGTGACTTACTGTCTTACTTTATCGTCGCACGCGCCAATCGACCACATCCCACCCTCCCAACACCCCGTCCCAATTCTTGTCGCATCGCGCATAAGGATTATGCCTTATTTTGTTACATATAAGTACATTTTTTGCTTAATTTATTACTTTATTTGATTATTTAAAATTGGCAACGTTGCACTATAATACAATATAGGTCTCTTGGCCTTCACGGGCCATGGGTCTTTGAACTTCTAGTATTTATCAGGTGATATCTGATGCATTTACATGATGTTGTTTAATATTAAAACAAAAAAAGGCTACCGCGCCCAGAATGTTCATTGTTATATATTTTTTTAGTTGTGTATGTTTAAAGAACTTTGTATAGAATACGTCTTTTCATTTAACGTGATAACTTCATCGTCACTTTGTATAAAAAAGAATCCATAAACTTCGTTTTATACATTTCTAAATTGGTGATAATCGCTTCTTTTATATAAGGGTAGCAAACGGATACACAATTCAGGTGATGGTAAATGAATGATGTGACAATAGACTGTGGGTGTCTATTATGTATATAAAAATTGCGATTATCGCCAATTTAAAAATTTATAAAACGAAGTTGACGGATTTATAGAATGAGGGTGACAAACGAACAATTCTCATTCTCAAGGACATGTGGGTGTCCTTAATTTAGAATCAGAATTCAGATGCGTTCTCACCGCTGATAACTAAGATGGATTGCCTTGTTAGCAGTAAAACGATATATGAGGTTCCCAACAATGACCATACGAAATGCAGTAGTATTATACTGCCATTTACGTTGTTATTTTGTGAGAACGTGGTCTTTCTGTGTTCAAGCTTGCCCATATACCATAACATAACATCGATATGTTCACCCGTTCTGTATTAATTTATTTATTTTAGGCACCAACAAAATATAAGTTTAACAAATTTTAATAAAGCACTTAATCTAAGAACGAAACATGCAAACAAGCTTTATCTTGGTTATAGGTAACAATGGCTAGGTAAAAATAACAATAATAGGACAACTTGTAAGGGCCACAGTTTTCGACGTTTATGTAGTTTAAAGTTCGATTAAGACGAGGTAAGTAAGTATGAGTGGCGAATAAAGTAAGCACACGTTTTGTTACTTTAGCAGTTTATTACACACACTGAGTTCAATTAGAAAATGGTGCATGTACACGCCCCTACCTGCCCCAACAAAGGTCGACCATACAGGGGGCAGCGGCCTGGTCCCATGCTGCCCCACAATGCTGCATTACTCCAGCAGGCGTCACCAATTGACTACTTCTATCTTCATTTCACTATTTCAGTCTATCAACTTTATTGTACATTTAACTAACTTCAAACTCAACTAATTCAACATTCATCGTAAAATCAAACACGTGACACCCGACACAAGTAAAGAACAATAGTTTTAAGTTCAATATTCAATGTTCCAGATTCATTTATCACCAAATTACAAATAGGGAACTAACGCGATCTCTTCACGAGTCACAAAGTTCAGCATTACAAACAACAAACTAAATTCCTTTGTACGATATTAAATACTACGCCCGCATTAGAACTCGAAATCAGCCTAGCTGACACGCAAACTAACTACATAGCCAACACACAAAAGGCACTTAACGTGACGGTACAATTAAACATTAACTTCCAAAAACAATAAACCGGGTTTAGCATTTTAACCGACACAGGAAAATATCTCCGAGTTACATGAAATGCCACAAGCAACTCTTCGACGCAAAATAATATTGTCAAGCACTTCAACCGGCAATCACTATACAATTTACGTAAATTACTTGCCAATGAATTTAGGTTAGTCAATCAAAATGTTACCGCTTCGTTATCGCGTAAACGCACTAAAGATAACCAAAACTAGAAGCGAAAACTCCAACAGTAAATTAATGCGCACAAAGACTCAAATTCTAGACCACAAAAAACAAAAACTGGTCGAGCGAAATATATGCGAGGCCTAACGCCGGGAAGCGGCATCCCGCTGCCCCCCCCCCCCCCCCGGCTGCGCGCACGTCACCTCACACCATCGGGCGATGCACTTAGCCAAACGCGATTGGGTGGCGTGTCAAATGCCCATGTTTGGGTCTAAACAGTGCATTATAAGTAATTCGGGGCGCGGTGATTCGAACCGCGTCAGCATAAAATAAATGCACCTATGGTATTTGGACCAGACATGCTGGGAGGCCAAAAAAGGAAAACTATAAACAGTTAAAAATGTAACATTAATATAAAATAAAAGATATACAAAAGTAAAGTCTTATTATTATAAGTCAAAACTAAATCTGCGTCCATTGGTGTTCCGTAGCGGGCACACGTCCAAATCTTCGTAGGGCGTTTGTGGCGGTGAGGGCGACGCAAACGGTGACTCCTCGCTAGTACGTTGTGCTCGTGTCGTAGATTTGTTAAGTAGTTTTCCCTTGCAGTAGTGCCTTATGATTAGAGCCTTACTTTACGACGAATCCTCCCACTAGCAAATAAATCATGACGAATTGGTGTACATCGTAAAAGTTTATCGCACGTGGCAGTTTCTGGTTATCATTTTGAGAAAATACGTCGTCCAAGACACTGAGAAGTGTTCGTAATAAGTTTCCGACGCCGTTGATTTATCCTCTCTTCTAATAGCTTAAGTGTGGCTTCAATAGAATTTCGATGTAGTCGTCAAGTTGTTGCCGTTCGTGGTTGAGCCGTGTGGCTATTGTTCCATACGCGTGCATATATTGCCGAGTTTCGTTAAGTTAAGCCTTTGATGGGTTCGGTCTCTTGCCAATATCTAGTTAAATTATGACAAATTAGCAAATTCCATTCGTCATGTATCATCTGCATATCTTAGATTTGCTCATAGTAAATTAGAGGACTGCCTTCTATTGGCTTAATTATATATTTATGATTAGTTATCGGCTGTGCACAAGTAGTTCATAATATAAACAATGCAATTAATGCAACTATAAAGCAATTAAGTTTTATTTTAGAATTTTACTGTTATTTATTTATTTATTTATTTATTCTTTATTGCATTCCTTAACCTAAAAGAATACAAAGGGCGGACTTAATGCCTTGTGGCATTCTCTACCAGTCAACCCATGGAGTGGTGAGAATTTGAAGTAGGTGTAGCAATATAGAATAAAAAGAAAATAGAAATGTATAATTAATTACATTTTATATACATTTTACTATTATATACAATAAATAAACTATAAAAATATATCCTATTTATACATGTATACAAATATATACGTACATACGTAAGCATACGTTATATGTGATTTGAACCCAGCGACACCTTTGAAATACTTTTGGAAGCTATCTACTAAGCAGGACTTAATAATATAGTATCATAAGTGTACTCGTAAACACAAAGGCATTCCTGTTTCCGCATGGCAGAGACAAGCATGTCCTGATTCGGATATTTGATACTAGCTTTTACGCGCGGTTCTGCTTTTGTTTAATAAAAAGCTGACACATAAAAACACACGTAAGCAAGCTATTTATGATATTGTGGAAGAATTATTCCGTATCGTTTAATATTAAAAAAAACTACAAAGGCAATAATATCCTATTGGAGAAATACATAACGATTTCTAGAGTCATTACGAATCGCATGCATACTTGATGACTTGCAGCTTTCCGGACAAGAGGATTTCTAAAAAGGCATAGACCACATTCACACACTTCAACTTCAACTTACGCTACGATGTCTATGCAAGTACAGAACAAGATGAATAATATGTCTCATTTAATATGTAGTACAATTATTTATTAGGAAATTATATACAAGCAAATCTACACCTATACCTTATTCCATAATATAGCAAATGATTTGCCTGACTAGATTCAAGTTGAGTCGATTACGTCATTCAACGTACAGTTCTACTCGGTTGCTTATTAACTAGGCTTTAGACCAAATATACTTTGATGAAATTGCTCGTTGTGTACATTCTCTGTTAGAAATGAAAGGTTATCCACTTTGACACAAGTTTACACTTTGCCATCGGCATGGTTGGCAAATTCAAAGAAAAGGAGGTTATTTTGCTAACGTGATAGATCACATTCGAACATGTTATATTCCCGAAACTTTTCATTGGAAGACATTTTTAAGCTACTGGATTGAAAAGGATACGATATCAACGTCAATGGCGAGTACATTTTTCAACTTTGTCATTTGTTGGTGATATAAATATTATGGCAGAATCGCTGCAGGACCTCAGCTGATGCTGAGAATGATCAGTTGTACAATGGTTCATTTCCTATCTTGAGGGACGCCGATACATGTTAATGAAAGCTTCTCCCATTTATAAAACTTTGTTACTTATGTTCCTCAAGGCGGTGTTTTATTTCCGTTGCTTTTTTCTGTGTTTATCAATGCACTTTTCTCCGTAATAAATTTCTTAAAGTATCACCTGCATGCAGATGATGTCCAGCTGTTTCAGCATTTTAGTTTAAATGACCTAAATTTATTTGTGGACTGAATGAATTTTGATCTTGCTGCAGTTCATAAGTGAGCGAGCTGTCATGGACTAATATTAAACCCTGCTAAAACACAGGTTAAATCATAGGGAGCAGAAAAATTACATGTCGACTTGACTATCATCATCTACCTACTACTAACTATTTAGAATTTGCTAGGCAGGTTAA